CTCACGGCAGCAGGTGCTACCGGGAGAATGGCGACTCCATCCCCAGGTGGTCCAGCTGATTTTCAGGCGCTTCGGGACCGCACAGATAGATCTGTTTGCCGCCCCGGACACGTCTCACTGCCAGTTGTTCTATTCCCTGACCGAGGGGACCCTCGGCACGGATGCTCTGGCACACAGCTGGCCCCGGGGTCTTCGCAAGTATGCGTTTCCCCCAGTGAGCCTTCTGGCACAGACCTTGTGCAAAGTCAGGGAGGACAAGGAGCAGGTCTTGTTAGTTGCGCCGTATTGGCCCAACCGGACCTGGTTCCCGGAACTAGTGCTCCTCGCGACAGCCCCTCCCTGGCCCATCCCTCTGAGAGAGGACCTGCTCTCTCAGAGACAGGGCACCCTGTGGCACCCGCGTCCAGACCTCTGGAAGCTCCATGTCTGGTCCCTGGACGGGACGCGGAGGTTCTAGGTGACCTACCCCCGGCGGTAGTTGACACCATCACTTCCGCTAGAGCTCCCTCTACGAGGCGCCTCTATGCATTGAAGTGGAACCTATTCGTTGAATGGTGTTCTTCTCACGAGGAGAACCCCCGATCATGCTCTATCAGAGCCGTGCTTTCCTTCCTGCAAGATGTGTTGGAGCGAAGGCTGTCTCCCTCCACCCTTAAAGTGTATGTTGCCGCTATTGCCGCACATCACGATGCTGTTGATGGTAAGTCCTTGGGGAAGCACGACCTGATCGTTAGGTTCCTGAGGGGAGGAGCGGTGAAGGGTTATGAGGCTATCCCTCCAGTGGAGCGGTCTTTTGCAACACACCTGTGTCCAACGGCCGCTGCATTTTGGACGGGGGATCCTCGTCTCCCCTCGCAGGCCTGTGAGCTCGCGTCAGATTTGACGGTCAGAGCTCACAAAGCTGGCGGGCAAGCTGCTTCCTCTTTGCATGGACATGCACGAGGGTAGTCTAGATCGTGCGCTCATGAGTGAGCTCCGCACTGCCACTGACCTCGCCCTACGGGGCACGAGTGTCGCAGCGTGCGCGGTCGGTCTAGCGATGTCCACTTTAGTGGTCCAGGAGCGCCATCATTGGCTCAGCCTGGTTGAGATGGCGGATGCGGACAAGGTTCGGTCCCTGGACTCCCCAATTTCCCGGGTTGGGCTGTTCGGCGACGCGGTGGAGAGCTGTACCCAACAGCTCTTCACAGCCCAAGAGCAGACGGAGGGTTTTCGACACACCCTGTCCTGGCGGCCTGCTGTTGCCTCCACCCGCCGCCAGTGACAGTTCCTCCGCCTGCCCGTCGCCGAGGGCGTCCCCCTGCCGCTGCCTCCGGTTCCGCGGGGCCCCCGCAACAGCCTTCACTCAGGCCCCAGCGTAGAGCCAGCAGCAGGCAGGTCGCCCGGTCTGTCTCAGGCACTGCCCAGCCAGGGGGCAGTGTCCCTGAGACAGGCCACCCAGGGTTGGGGGGACGAGCTCTTTAGATGGTTACCGTTCCACCACTGGCTCCCCAGAGTCCAGTGGTTCCCAAATTGTCAAAGAGCGAATTCCTCCGTCCCTGGGTCCCAAGAGCGCGAGGTTGGCGGTGTGCGACCCTGTGGAACAGCCTTGCACCCCTCAGCCCCCTCTTGTTCGCCAGCCGGCAGCACGACGCGTTCGAGGACCCGGTCATCCGCCTTCTCACGCATCTCCTGCTGTCCCGTGGAGACAGGTAGGTGTTGCACTGCACACTCAGACCCCGCTTCGGGCCGCCCACGGGCCTTCCGAGCCGGGTCCCTGTCCTCCACCACGCTGCCTCACCTCGGGTACGTCTGTGGTCTCTGGGCCCTGGTATGGTGTGTGTAAGCCTAAAGTGCTTCCTACCGCTCCATTGGCCCTGAGTTACCAGCAGACTCGGCTTGCGATTCATTTCGCTTGGCTTCCGCCCTGGCTCAGTGATATTTTTCACACCTAGGTGTTGAGCTAATGCTCCTAGAATTAGTGATAATTATCACACCTACGTGTTGAGCACTGCTCCTGGCCTGTGTGCGCACGTCACAGTCCTACTGGCGAAGGACGCGATGTAGCCTCTTCCTCAGCCGATATGAAGACCGGTTTCTTTAACCTGTTCTTTATTGTACCCTAGATATGTGGTGTGTCATGGCCACCTTGGACCTGTGTCAGTTGAAACGGGCCCTTTTTCGAAAGCCTCCGTTCAATTACTAACACAGAGATGCATTTTCAAATGCTCCGTCCCCAAGGATGGCCTGCAGCGTTCGACCTGAAGGACAGTACTTCAGATTTCTATCCTCCGCTCCACAGAACATTCTGTGTCTGGCGTCGAGGGTACGAAGTATCCGTACAGGTCCTACCCTTCGAGTGCTCCATAGCCAGTTGGGTCTTCAGGTCAACTGGGAGAGATTAATCTCGCCCACGGGCTGAGTATCTCTTTTCAGTTCAGGAGAGGGACTCGGTCCAACACGTCTCTCAAAAGAGTGTGTTAGGCTAGTGCTAGAAGTGAGAAAGGGTTCAACTGAAAAAATTTTCAGAGGCTCTTGGGGCATATGGCAGTCGCAGTCGCTTGGCTTCCTCCATATGAAGACCGCTTCAGCACTAGTTTTATGATCGAGTCCCGAGGTGACCGTGGCAGAGCGGCACGCCCTGTGTGATTAAAAGATCACCCCGGCCTGCCGCCAAACTCTCAGCCCGTGTTTAGACCTTCAGGTCCACTAACACTGACTGAGGAGCCATGTACAAAGGGCATGCTTTAACGGAGGCCTGGGCGACCTCCGACTGCATTGGTATTTGTTACCTCGAGTTGTCAGTTCACCTCGCTTTGAGCCACCACTGCTCAGCTAGCTGGTACTGGTCTGAAAAGACAACATCGCGACCGTTGCGCTAAGCTTCCCTCGCATGTCATAACTCGCCTGTCACCTCCTCCTTGGAGTCAGAAGCTTCTGAGGTTGCTTCTTTCCACTATAAAATTCTTCCGGCCTGCTCAATCGTGCCGCCAACGAGCCTCACGGCAGCTATGGCCAGGGAGAGTGGAGACTCCATCCCCTGGCGGTCCAGCTGGGCAGGGACCACTTCGGGGCCGCACAGTTACATCTGTTGCCTCTCCGGACTCGTCCCTCTGCCAGTTGTGTTTCTGTCTGAGCAGACATCCCTTGGACAGACACTAGCTCTCAGCTGACCCCGGGGCCCCGCAGAAATGCGTTCCCCAGTGAGCCTTCTAAGAAAGCGACTATGCGATTCATTATCGCTTGGCGCTGCTCAAGTTCAGTGATTTTCATCACACTCAGGTGTTGAGCAGAAATGCTCCTGAAACTCAGTGAATTTCATCACACTCAGGTGTTGAGCAGAAATGCTCCTGAAGCTCAGTGAATGATCACACTTAGGTGTTGAGCAGAGTTGCTCCTGAGCTCAGTGAACTTATCACACTCAAGTGTTGAGCAGAGATGCTCCTGAAGCTCAGTGACTTTCACATCTAGTGTTGAGCAGTGCGCAGGTCGCTTGCACCTACTGTGCTAAGTCAGGAGTGGAACAGGTCTGATAGTTGCCCCTTATTGGCCCAACCAGATCTAGTTCCCTCGACAGCCTTCCTGACTTCCCCTGAATACTTTTTGGGGATGGGGCATGATGGCACCCGCGTTCAAAAAAAAAAAAAAAAATGGACGTGGAGGTTCAGGTGGTTACCACAAGGATAATGTGGTAGTGACCATCACTTCTGCAAGCACCCCCTTAAGATAAGGCAGTTGTGCTTCGCTAAGTTAGAAGTGGAACCTATTCATTGAATGAGTCTTCTCTCCTGAGGAGATCCTGAGAGCGTTCGGTCATTTCAGTGCTCTCTTTCCTGCAAGTTGGGTTGGAGTAGGCTGTTCCTTCACCCTCAATATGATGACGAACATCATATGCAGAAGCATGGGAAGCACGTCCTGATCGTCAGGTTCCTGAGGGAGCAAGGGTCATCCCTGCGTCCCTCTTTATCCTCTTGGGCCTATCTCTGGTGCTACTGCACTGCAGAGACCACCCCTGAGCCACTGCGGGCAGTGAGTTAAAAATCTGTTTTTTACAGTTCTCCTGCTCGCATTGTCTCTACTAGAGGGTAGGGACTTGCTCGCTTTCGGTCAATGACTTGTGCCTGGAATTCGGGCCGGCTAACTCTCATTAGCTGAGACCCCGGCCTGGATATGTGCCCAAGGTTCCTACCTCTCCCTTAAACTGGGACCAGGTGGTGAGCCTGCAAGCACTGCCCCGGAGGAGGCAGACCCAGCCCTGGCTTTCTCTGTCCGTCCGCTTCATCGCGGTTATACGTGTACAGAACGCAAGCCATAGGACCTCAGACCAGCTCTTATCTGTTAAGGAAGTCAGCAGAGAGGGAAGGCTGTTTCCAAGCGAGGTTGGCCCACTGAATGTGGTTGCCTTATCTTGGTGAAAATCCCGAGATACTCATGTCCACTTACGTGGTGAGCTCCTCTTTTATGAGTGTTGCTCCCACCTAGGCGTTGACACAGAGTGCTTCGCTGACAGATATTCTAGAGTTGGGGGCTGGGCAACACCTAAGTCGAACCGCGGCTTCCCGTGGGCTCCCTTCATATGAAGCCAGTTTCACCATGAGCCCGGTTCGAAGTGTCGGCTTGCTGCGCCATTCCCCTCCTATGGACTGGATACGTGCGCCATTTTGCTCCAGTAGAGTTCCCTTATCCGAACCCTGTTGAGTTCCTCCGCACCCCTCCGACATCAGACGTGGCGGAACGCCCGGTGTTAGGCCTACCACTCGTAAGCAGTGTGGAACCTGTGTTAGGCTGGGTCCATATGTTGTGATCCCTACGGTGATCCCATATGTGTATTCTTCCACGGTACGGCTCCCTACGGTGAGCCCGTGTCTTCCCTCGGCAGAGCCTGCTCTGCTGTCATTGGCTGGTTGAGTCTCCCCCCTGTCTAGGCTGGAGCCTCCCCAGTGACCTTCCATATGTTGCACTGCCCGGTCTCCGCCCAGTTCATATGTGTATTCTCCACATGTTACCTCCCTTCGGGCAGGATGTGGCTTCCGCAGCGTCCCTTCCTTCCATGTACAGGGTACGCTTTCCCAGTGTTATCCAAGTCTAACTGAGTGGGTCTTGTGGAACAGCAGTGACTTCCTGGCCTAAGCCCTATCCTCTTCCGCTAAAAAGGTCGGGAGGATCAGGAGGCTTTTGTCTAGGCACTGGAAGGTGGCAGCTTTAGTGGCGTTTTCAATGGTTGATCCCATTTCAGTCGACGTCGACTACGTCTGACGTTCACGACTGAAAGGGAACGTCCTGGTTGCGTATGCAACCCACCGTTCCCTGAAGGAGGGAACGGAGGACGTAGTCCCCTTGCCACAATCGCTGGACCACCGCTGACTCCGAGTTACGCTCGGCTCCTCAGCGAAAAGCAATGGTGCGTGCATCTACTTCCGTATTTGTACCCGCGCCGCGGGGCGGAGTGTGAGATGCATATCTCACACGCCAATGTGCATTGGCTCGTTCTAAATTACTCGAAGACAATAGGCTCCCTAGCGTGATCCCATTTCAGTCGACGTCGACTACGTCCTCCGTTCCCTCCTTCAGGGAACGGTGGGTTGCATACGCAACCAGGACGTTCTTTGTAATTGTTTTTTTTTACAGGAGACTACCAAAACGGGTCAAAAGCTTTTTCACAGATGGCGTGAGTTCTCTCTATCCAACCTCAATTACAGTAATTCTTCATCCATTAAAGGAGTAGTTTATTTTAAAATGAAAATTAGCCCATGATTTACTCATCCTCAAGCCATCCTAGGTGTATATGACTTTCTTCTTTCAGACGAATACAATCTGAGTTATATTAATAAAAACACCCTGATGCTTCCGAGCTTTGTAATGGCAGTGGATTGCAACCATCAGAATGAAGCTCAAAAAAGTGCATCCAGCCATTATATAAGAACTCCACATGGCTCCGGGGGGTTAATAAAGGCCTTCTGACGCAAAACAATGAATTTGTGTAAGAAAAATATTCATATTTAAAAAACAAACAAACATATGGATTGCACGCAAGTCTAAAGCGCAACTTATTCGAGTAATGCGACGTACTGCCAATATTTATGCTACGCCATGACTCACTACACTACTTCCGACGTCATAAGTTACGTAAGTTGTGCTTTATAGGCAAGTAGACTGAGAATGGCCGTTTGGCCGGAAGCTAAAATTTTACATTGTAACGTGTTAAATATGAATATTTTTCTTACACAAACTCATCGGAAGCGTCAGGGTGTTTAGTAATATAACTCAGATTGTATTCATCTGAAAGAAGAAAGTCATATACACCTAGGATGGCTTGAGGGTGAGTAAATCATGGGCTAATTTTAATTTTAAAGTGAACAACTCCTTTAAGAGTCTTTTCGGTAATGTCTTGTTTTTTTTTCCAGTCTCTAGAGAGCCTTCGAGCGGCAGAGGAAGCTCACTCTAAACGTCACTCCACCTCTGAACTGGGGAACATCACTGTCACTGATATCAGGAAAGAAGGCTGGCTGCATAATAAACAGATTCTCACTGAGAAGGGAAAGGTCTGACACTAATGCATCTGTCTAATTACTCATGTAACTATATTTTAGCCAAGTACTTCTGTGGGCTAGTCTGAGACCTCTATTTTTGCATTGTATCTAGAAAGTGGGCAGTGGCATGCGGCCATGGAAACGAGTCTTCTGTGTGCTGCGCTCCCGCTCGCTTTTCCTCTACAAGGATAAGCGGGAGGCGGTGCTTCACGCAGCCGGGGCAGGAGGTCACGGCAACGGGCAAGGGGAAGATGAGCAGCCAATCAGCATTCGAGGCTGCTTGATTGACATAGCATACAGTGAGACAAAGCGTAAACACACCTTGCGACTGACTACTCAGGACTTCTGCGAGTACCTGCTGCAGGCGGAGGACAGGGATGACATGCTAAGTTGGATCAGAGTCATCAGAGAGAACAGCAAGACTGACAATGGGGTTTGTTGAGGGGGGAAAAAACTCTTGAACAGAGATGTTTAAACCAGGGCCTGCGGTCCAAAGTAATAACATTTGATTTGAGTGGTAAAATAAGTATTGAACACTTCACCATTTTTCTCAGTAAATATATTTCTAAAGGTGCTATTGACATGAAATGTTCACCATATGTTGGTAACAACCCATGCAATCCATACATGCAAACAAAATCAAACCATAGATGTCTATAAATTAGGTTATGTGTAATAATGTTAATTGACAGAGGGAAAAAGTATTGAACACATGAAGAAAAGAAGGTGCAAAAAGGCATGGAAAGGCAAGACAATCATTAATTAGAAAGCAATCCTGCCCCTTGTCAGTGCAAGGTTTTACACAAGAAACATCTCATGATGGGTAAAAGCAAAGAGCTCTCTCAAGACCTCCGCAACCTTTTTGTTACAAAACATACTGATGGCATTGGTTACAGAAGGATTGTGGAATCTGGAAGTGGAAAGAACATAATTTCACCAAAAAATTGGCACTCCTTTCTGACAGAGGAGTGAAAAGAATTATTAGAACAGTTGTCCAAGAGCAAAGGACCACTTGTGGACCGCTTCAGAAAGACCTGGAATTAGCAGGTACAATTGTTTCAAATAAAACAATAAGTAATGCACTTAACCACCATGGCCTGTATGCACGCTCACCACGCAAGACTCCATTGCTGAAGAAAAAGCATGTTGAAGGTTGTTTAAAGTTTGCTGCACAACATTTGGACAAGCCTGTGAAATACTAGGAGAATATAGTCTGGTCAGATGAGATCCAGATGAGCAACTCTTTGGATGTCATAATACACACCATGTTTGGAAGGAGAAATAGCACTGCACATCACCCCAAAAACACCATACCAACAGTGAAGTTTGGAGGTGGGAACATCTTGGTGTGGGTTTTCAGCATATGGTACTGGCAAACTACATATAATTGAAGGAAGGATGAGTGGGAAAATGTACAGAGACATTCTTGATAAAAAATCTGCTGCCATCTACCAGGATGATGAAGATGAAACGAGGGTGGACATTTCAGCACGACAATGATCACAAACACATGAAAGAAAATAAAGCTGCTAGAGTGGGCCAGCCAATCACCTGACTTGAATCCAATTGAAAATCTATGGAAAGAATGGTTAGTCAGCTCCCTGAAGGAGGGAACGGAGACGTAGTCGACGTCGACTGAATGGGATCACGCCAGCGGGCCAGTCATCTTCGAGTACTATTGAAACGAGCCAGTAGAATTGGCGTGCGTGACTTGCATCACACACTCCGACCCCGCGGCGCGGGTATAAATACGGAAGTGGATGCACGCACTAGTTGCTTTTTTGAGCGTAACTCGGAGTCAGCGGTGGTCCAGCAATAGTGGCGAAGGGACTGAAAGGGAAGTTTTCTTTCAGTCGTTCACGTTCGACGTAGTCAACGTCGACTGAATGGGATCACCATTGAAAATGTCATTAGTGCTGCCACCTTCCAGCGCCTAGACAAAGCCTCCGGATCCCCCCGCAACTTGAGGCGGAGATGGCAGGGCTTAGGCCGGTGAAATCTCTGCTGTTCCACAGGACCACTGGGAAAGCGTACCCTATCAATGGAAGGAAGGGATGCTGAGGAAGCCACATCCTGCCCGAAGGAAGGTAACATGTGGAGAGTACACACATGGACTGGGCGGAAGACCGGGCAGTACAACATATGGAATGTCCCTGGGATGACTCCAGCCTAAAACAGGGGGGAGGATCAACCAAACAGTGACGGCAGAGACGGCTCTGCCGAGGGATCACATCATATGGACCCAACCTAACACAGGTTCCATCAGTGTATACGAGTGATAGGCCTGTCTTCGGACGTTCCGCCACGTTGGTTACCGAAGGGTATGGAGGAACTCGACAGGGTTCGGCTAATAAGAGGAACTCAACTGGAGCAAGAATTCCGCACATATCCAGTCCATGGGAGGGGAATGGCGCAGCAAGCCGACACTTCGAACTGGGCTTACAGTGAAACTGGCTTCATGTGAAGGGAGCCCATAGGAAGCAGCGGTTCGCTAGTTCTCTAGCGAACGTGATAGGTGTCGCCCAGCCCCCAACTCTATTTAACATCTGTTTAGCGAGGCACTCTGTGCCAACGCCTAGGAGGGAGCAATACTCTCACTTAGGAGGAGCTCACCACCCAGGTGGGCTCGTGCATCTTGGGAAAACTTTCTCACTAAGATGAAGGCAACCACATGTAGTGGGCCAACCTCTGCTTGGAAATAGCCTTCCCTTCTGCTGGTCTTTGTAACAGACGAGCTGGTCTGAGGTCCAGGCTTTGCATTCTGAGCACGTATAACCACAATGGAGCGTACGGACAGAGAAAAGCCAGGGCTGGGACTGCCTCCTCCGGGGCAGCGCTTGCATGCTCACCATCTGGTCCTGTAGGAGAGGTAGGAACCTTGGGCACATATCCAGGCCGGGGTCTCAGATTTCATGAGAGTTAGTCGGCCCGAATTCCAGGAACGATTCGTTGACTGAAAAAGCGTGCAAGTCCCTACCCTCTAGATAGAGACCAAGCAAGCAGGAGAACTGTTTCTCTAAAAACAGGATTTTTAACTCACTGCCTGCAGGGCTCAAGGGAGGTCTCTGCAGTGCAGTAGCACCAGAGATAAGTCTCAAGAGGTTAAAGGAGTCAGGAAGGGCTGTCGAGAGGAGAGGTCTGGTTGGGCCAATAAGGGGTAACTAGCAAGAGTTTCTCTAAAAACAGGATTTTTAACTCACTGCCTGCAGGGCTCAAGGGAGGTCTCTGCAGTGCAGTAGCACCAGAGATAAGTCTCAAGAGGTTAAAGGAGTCAGGAAGGGCTGTCGAGAGGAGAGGTCTGGTTGGGCCTATAAGGGGTAACTAGCAAGACCTACTCAATCTCCTCCCTGACTTTAGCACAGTTTTGTGCAAGAAGGCTCCTTGGGGAACGCATTTCTGCGGGGGCCTGCGGAGAAAAGACTGTCGAGGGATGTCCACTCAGACAGGAGAAAAAAACAACTGGCGAAGGGACGAGTGAACTGACGAGTGAAAAGCGAGGTGAACAGCAAGCAACTCGAGGCAATGGATGCCAATGCAGTCGGAGGCCCGCCCAGACCTCCGTTACTGCATGTCCTTTGTACGTGGCCCCTCAGCCGGTATTGATGGACACTCGTTCTAGGAGCCGTTGGCCCAGAGAAACAAAAGGACTGATCACGGGCTGAGAGTTTGGCGGCAGGCCAGAGTGATTGTCACACGGAGCGTGTCGCTCTGCCACGGCCACCTCGGGACTCGGCCGTGAAGACAGTGCTGAAGTGGTCTTCATATGGAGGAAGCCGTGCGGCTGCGTTTGCCATATGCCCCAGGAGCCTCTGAAAAGTTTCAGTGGAACCCTTTCTCACTTCGGTAAAGCACCGACCGGACACGCTCTTCTTAAGAGACGTGTTGGACCGAGTCCACCATAGCAGAAAAGAGATCCTTAGCCCGAGGGCGAGTTTACTCTTTCCCAGTTGACCTGAAGACCCAACTGGCTATGGAGCACTCGAAGGCTAGGACTTTGTACTGCTACTTCGAACCTTCGAACGCAAGAACACAGTCATGGCATGTGGTGCGGAAGGATAGAGATCTGAAGTACATGTCCTTCAGGTCAAACTCTGCAGACCAACCTCGGGGACGGAGTTATCTCTGTGTTAGCAACTTAAACGGAGGCTTAAGAAAAGGGCCCGTTACAAGAGTCACACGTGCAAGATGGCCGTAACCCACCACCTATCTTGGGTACAATGAAGTACGGGCTATAGACAAAGGTAGTGGCTCAGTGGTTCATGTAGGTTGTCTACAAACCGGAAGGTTGGTGGTTCAATCCCCGATTCCACCTGACCAAGTGTCGAGGTGTCCATGAGCAAGACACCTAACCCCAGCTGCTCCCGACGAGCTGGATGGCGCCTTGCATGACACCGCTGTCGGTGTATAAATGAGTGAATGAATGGGTGAATGCGAGGCAATATGTAAAGCGCTTTGGTGGCCATGGGTCTGTTGAAAGCGCTATATAAATGCAGTCCATTTACCATTTACCATAGAAGCCGGCCTTCATATCGGCTGGGCTCCATCGCGTCCTTCGCCAGTAGGACTGCGGTGTCCACATGCATGACTGGAGCACATTTGCTCAACACTGAGGTGTAGCGAATAGCACTGAACTTGGGCGGACGCCGAGCGATATTGATCGCACGGTGAGTCTGCTGGTATGGAGGAGCCAGCTGGACCGGTTGGGAAGCATCTTAGGGTTCTACGAACCGGGCCAGAGAACCAGAGGTACCAGAGACGTACCCGGAGTGGGGCAGCGAGGTAGAGGACAGGGACCCGGCTCGGAAGGCCCAAAGGCAGCCCGAAGCGGTGTCTGAGTGTGGTGCACAACACTTACCTGTCTCCAAGATGCCAGGGAGAAGGCGTGACCAGGTCCTCGAACCACACCCAGCTGCCGGCTGGCGATACAAGAGGGGCCTGAGGGGTGCAAGGCTTTACAGGGTCGCACGGCTTTACAGGGTCGCACACCGCCAGTCTGGCCCTCTTGGGACCCAGGAACAGAGGAATTTGCTCTTTCTTTTAAGTAGGGGAGCCAGCGGCGGAACAGTAGCCATCTGAAGAGCTCGTTCCCCCATCCCTGGGTTGCCTATGTCAGGGATGCTTGTCCTTACGCTTGCCACCTGGATTGGCAGCGTCTGACACAGGCTGGGCGGCCTGCCTGCGGCTGGCTCCACGCTGAGGCCTTGGTGGAGGCTGCTGCAGAGGCCCAGCAGGAGTGGCGGCAGGGGGACGCCCTCGGCGACGAGCAGGCGGAGGAACTGCCACCGGCGGCGGGATGGAGGCAGCAGCTGGCTGCCGGGGCAGGATGTGCCGGATGGCCTCCGTTTGCGCTTGGGCGGCAGAGAACTGTTGGGCGCAGTTCTCCACCACGTCGCCGAACAGCCCAACCTGGGATATTGGGGAGTCCAGGAACCGAACCTTGTCCGCACCCGCCATATCAACCAGGCTGAGCCAACGAGGGCGCTCCTGGACCACTAAAGTGGACATCGCCAGACCGATCACGCACGCCACAACACTTGTGCCCCGTATGACAAGGTCGGTTGCAGTGCAGAGCTCACCTATGAGCGCACGGTCTGGGCTACCCTTGGGATGTCCATGAGTGCCCTGGCCTGATAGACCTGTAGCAACACCATGACATGCAAAGAGGAGGCGGCTTGCCCACAGGCTTTGTAAGCTCTGTCCGTTTTAACGGATGAAAAATCACAGGCCTTAGGGGGGAGAAGAGGATCCTCCTTCCAAAAGGCAGCGGCCGCTGGACACAGGTGCACCTGTGTCGCGACAGACCATTTCCACTGGAGGGATAGCCACGTAACCCACCACCGCTCCTCCGTCAAGGATAGTGAGGGGGGAGGAGCTACTCAGGCAGTTTCTGGCAGAGAAAGGTGCCGTCCACAACCTGGTAGCTCTCCATGGACTTTGGGAAAGAAAAGCACTGGGGCGGCGTGCTGAGAACCAGCGCGGCCCGCCCCGAAATACCACTCGAGCCCGACAGCCATGGCGGCCCGTTTCAGCATATCTGACATTTCTGGATCTGGCTTGGGCAACGTTACACTCCCAGAGAGAGATAACGCAGCCGAGTCATCATTTCCAGATGCTCTGGACCCTCCGATGCTGCAATCAGCATCCTGTCCTCTGGAGGGGCCCCAAATGAAACGGCTGGTTGGTCCATTACAGAGGGACCAACATGCTCAACGGGGAGCTTCTCTGGCTGCGGTGTGATAGAGGAGTGAGGGGCCCACAGGGATTGCTTAATTGGCGGGGAAGCCTCACTATGATCCTCTGATCACCCATCCCACACGGTGCCGTAGCGGGGCGTGGTAATGGGGACTCCACCTTCACGCATGAAGACTAGTCTCGATCTCAACACCGCGATAATCATGTTCTCGCAATAAGAACATGAACAATACACAAAAGCTGCGTCAGCGTGCTGAATATATATACACACACACACACATATATATATACATATTTACTAGTGCTGGGCAACGATTACATTTTTTTATCGCGATTAATCGCATGAAGTTATTGTGATTCATCAAATGTAAACAAATGTAAAGCCCAATTTATACTTCTGCGTTGAACTCACGCCGTAGCTACGTACCTGCTGTGTGTAGCGCGCGTACCTTTACGTGCACCTCTCCAAAATTGTAACAATGCGTCAATTCTACGCGTACCGCAAGCTCCCTCTGCATGTGTAATTGCGCGTCAAGGGGGACAACGACGCAGAAGTATAAATAAAAACCAACGCGTAGTCTATAGCATAGAGGCTCCGGCGTATGGCCGACGCAGAATTATAAATCAGCCTAGAGTGAGGTGAAGTCGTCGAGCACAGGTGCAGCGACAAGCGGGTGCGTTCCTGTGAAACTGTTGCGGTCATGCTCGCCTCACGCACGCGCCCGCGCCCTCCCGCTGCCGAAGTTGAATTGTCTATAGCCTAACTTTTTGTAGCTACACGACGTGCAGCACAAATTATTGGAAGAGAGACTGATACTCGGCTCGCTGTTTGTGAGTTTCCACAATCTAAATAGTTATTAGGACGTCATCAACAGAAGGGAATTCACATGGCAGAGCATCTCCGCTAAACTAAACGCAGGCCTATCAGGTGAAGTTATGTATAATTTTAATTTAAGTTAAAAAGGCTACAGCTGCGTAGCGCACAGAAGCCGTTGCCATGGTTACTATCCATAGAGCGCCTGTCATTCACTTGCGGAGCGCTGTCTCCCTTTCTGTTCACCTGAGAGAACCTGCCAAGGCCTCTCCACTGCTTGTTTGGGTGGGTTATTTGCTGGCTGACCAACATCCCACCCCTCCTGTGATCCATGGTTTGACTGTAGGCCTATGTGTATTCCGAGCCAGTGTGCAACGGACTTTCAAAATAATAATAAAAAAAAAACTGCGTTAACGTGCGATAAAAAAATTGTCGGCATTAATTAAATTATGCAGGAAATAATAATTTAATTAATATCGGCAGTTAACGCGATAATAACGTGTTAACTTGCCCAGCCCTAATATTTACATATACATAGACACACTCTTCAAACATGTGATGCAACCATTGTGACCGTCAGAGGGGGACAGGGAACGACCGCATCCAGAAATGCACAGATGCAATCGCACCCGTGTTGCTCTTTCAGGAAATGGGACCCATCACCAGTGCCGGAGCACACAGGGGAATGACCGCGCCAACACTGAACAGTGAACTGAAACAGTGAAGCACTCACTTCTTTGCCCTCTAACCAACTGTCAACAAAAACACCGAAATTATGCTGTTAAAACAGCAGTTGAGAGCTCAGAAGCTCGCGATCACCGCTGCACTCCCGCTGTAGAACCACCAGCACTGGGAGAGTCTTCCAGAAGAACACCGACACACTCGCTCGTTGTAAACAACAGCACTCTTCAGAGACATCAAACGATCGGCTTCCGAAGCGAAAGTTAACTAGTGCATGCATCCACTTCCGTATTTATACCTGCGCCGCGGGGGCGGAGTGTGTGATGCAAGTCACGCACGCCAATTCCATTGGCTCGTTTCAATAGTACTTGAAGATGACTGGCTCCCTGGCGTGATCCCATTCAGTCGACATCGACTACGTCGAACGTGAACGACTGAAAGGGAACTAAAGATTAGAGTTTATAGAAGAGTCCCACGGAACCTTCAAGATTTTAAGACTGTTTGTGTGGAAAAATGGGCCAAAATCACACCTGAGCAATGCATGCAACTAGTTTCTCCATAAAGGAAGCGTCTTGAAGTATTAAGCATATTTATTTAAGTATTAAATAAATTTCAGAAAGTGCGTTCAATACTTTTTCCCTGTGTCATTTAACATTATTACACATAACCTAATTTATGGAACTCTATGGTTTGATTTCTTTGCATGTGTGGATTGCATGGGTTGGTACCAACATCTGGTGAAAATTTCATGTCAATAGCACCTTTAGAAATATATTTACTGAGAAAAATGGTGACGTGTTCAATACTTATTTTACCTGATATATACATCCCACGACCCTCAAATAAGTTTGATTTTTGGCCCTTTATATTAAAAAGTTTAGGCATCTCTGTTCTTAGAAAAATAAACATTACAAAACAGCAACTAAAAGTAACAACAAAACAGCAAAATCAAACAGAAAATATTCAGAAATGTAATCACATAATTTATGCCGCACACATCATAGTATTAATATTAGGGATGCACCGAATCCAGATTTGTGGGGTTCGGCCGAATACCGAATCCACTGGTTAAGATTCTGCCGAATCCGAAACCGAATACCGAATCCTACTCTCATCCTCAGTCCATTAACACAGTAAACACATTAATGAAGTAAACAAAGTGGATTTTTCATTTTATTTTATTACTGTAAATAATAAACACTACTTTTACTTTTATAACTGTAAAAAAAAAAAAAGAATAAGCAACATTATGCATTTTAACAGCGGCGATGTTGTGTAGCCTATTGTTTAGAGTCCTTGCCACCATGAGACAAATCGGCATTGCAAATTGAACACGTAGCTCGACTTGAATTGCCTTCTTTTCACTGAAAGTACTGCCAAACAACACTTTTTCTGCTCACGAGTTCCATTTTCACTTTCTCACAGCCTACTGCATTCGAACGGTGCACCTACTGTAACGACTGGAAATAAGGTGTGGCACCTTTAAGAACTGCGCGCTCCTGTTGAACTGTCTGCAGTCCGTATTGTTTGTGCCGTGCGCCTCGAACACATGCCCATGTATGCGGGTTATTTCTGTTTGATGCTCATTTTTACCTTATTTTGTTAAGTAACGCTGTGGAACGTAGAACGTGTGACAGACAGTTACACAAGTTCGATTGTGGAATAAAGTGCGAGTTGTGAGATGCCAATCGCCTCCGTGAGTCTGTCTGGCCTCTGCAATAACTTTAGCTGTGAGCTATCCCTATTTTTCTTCCTGACACAACGCGTTACACTACAGGCTTGTTCGACTTGAACCGGCGCTGCACAGACAGATCAGTTTATGACATCAAAGTACCGCGAGAGCAATTCAAAAGCATATGGAGCCGTCTGCTCTCTATTCGTTCACGCGGTACTTTGATGTCATTCACTGATCGGTGACTTCGACGTAGCGCGCGTAGTGCAAGCCTAGGGTTCGGTTCGGTGGAAAAAAATTCTGAGGTTCGGCAGAAACCGAACCCCGTTAAAAAGCCCAATATTCGGCCGAATCCGAATCCGAATCCTGGATTCGGTGCATCCCTAATTAATATGTACTATAACTACACAAATAATAACTGTAATGCAGACACAGATAAACATTGTGATTCTATATCATAGTGATTTCCTGCTGTTTTTAACTTACTTTAAATAAAATAAACTGTAGAACTATGACTGTAAAAATGGCTATGAAAGTACAGCAGCTAGTATCCAGCAATGTACAGTAAATTCACTCTAAAATATTTGACACCCTAACAGGAACTGGGCTTCTCCAGACAGGCTCTAATTAATAAGAAACTGAATGATTATAGGAAACAGAGGTGATTATCTTGCCTACTTAATCATACTTATAGAATGGTGAGTGTGGTAGTCTTATCTCTTTCGTTTTGCAGTCCAACAGGCAACAAGCTAGACACTTCTCCTAGGATTCATCGGATGATGCCACCTTTCCTTCTCTCTAAAACTGAAAACACGTCAGGTGTGAACCGAGCCCCAGGGAAAGGTGAACTCTCTGAACCATGACAAATAGGCTTAGACGCTAAGCCCTGCTCCTTTGCCCACTCTCTGGTCTGCATTTGCATCTTTCAGATCTGTCTCATCTCTTTCTCCATCTCTAACAGATGACAGTACTAAGGCACCATGGGGCATTAACATCATGAAAAAAGGAAAGAAAACGGGTCCAAAAGCTTTTGGAGTGAGGCTGGAGGACTGCCTGCCTGCTGCCAATAATAAGGTCAGCAAGAGTTGTGAACTAGTGCTTGTTTTCATTAACTAAATTATGAGAAAATACTTCCGGGTAGAGCTGGGCGATATGGGAAAATGTATTATCTCAATATTTTTTTCCAGATCATTCGATCTAGATATTTATGTGTGTATTTATGTGTGTGTGTGTTTATCCAAGACAATAATCACAGGCCTTGGTTTATCCAAGGCCTATGATTCACTCGGCATGCCTTCGGTCTTTGTTTGTCCTCTATGTTATAATCCTCCTCTTAGTACTGCTGGTACAGAGAGCCAGCTCTCTTCTTGTATATGAGCGTAACTTTCTTCTGAGTCTTCAAGAGTCGGCGGTGGATGTTTGCAGAGGCTATACAGGTGGTCAGTGGTCTTGCAATCCCCCATTATCTGAACGCGCTTCGGTTTACCTGTGTGGACTATCAGATCTTTGTCGCAACAGAAGGAAACGGAATAGGAGACGAGGCAAGCGAGCGGGTGTGGCTGTGACACGGAGACGGGCGTGTGCGATAGCGCGTGCATCAGCGGCTTGTCTGTGTATGTCTACGGGCTTAGCGGTGGATTTCTTCGACCCATCTTCCTGGCATCTATTGTCGTGTCGTTGGGACGAAAGGGTCTCTTACCTGGTTGTGGTCTCTCCTCGGCGCTGGGTGTGGTCAGCGGGGATCAAAGACTCGCATCGGCGTTTCAGGAAGAGAGGGAGTAACCCTGAGAATCTCCGGTTCCTGGAATATGCACCTATCCCTTGTAATCGAAGTGAGCCGGCCCAAGGTACAATCATTAACCCTCTGGGGACCAAGGTGTTTTTGGGGCCCTTGGGATGTTTTGACATGCACTGACATTTGTGCTTTTTTCAGTTATTTATAAACATGTTAATGGCAAAGGTGCAAATTCACTCTATATAGCACAAACGGGGCTACCATAATATGTGAGCAACATGTATATACATGTTTGTATTTTTAAGAGAATAATGTTTATGCGTGGTTATTGAAAAAAATAAAAATGAAAGTTGCTGAAATAAGACCACAAAACACATACTAAATATGTGTCCACAAGACTTTTGACTAATGGATGTTGTCGCTTCGAGTTCTGGCTTCAAAATGATGTGAAAATCATCCTGTCTAATTATTCACATAACACAATAGATTCTTTTAAATTGTGAAAAACATTTTTTTGTTATCCAAGGCAATATGCGAATGGGCGTGAACGGCCCAACCCCATTGTGAATAATTAGGTGGTTGAGAAGACAAAGACGACCCGCATATTAATGAGCCTTTCATTCAGGTGTGTCACACAAGAAAGAATGCAAGGACAATATACACACACACACACACACACACACACACATACATACATACATACATACATACATATACATATACATATACATATATATATATATATAAAATCAAAATATAAATGAAAGTCAAAAGCACATTTTTAGTCATACCTGGAAACAAATCCTGTTCAAATAGGTTATTTGGCCATTCTACAGAATTGGTTCAAAGTTAGAGTTGGAAACATCTTGAAAAGAAAATTGTCTTTTTCCATAACTGTCTTAGTAGGACATATACATTTTATCATACATATTTCAAAGTTAAGGATTCATTATTTTGATATAGATTGCATTGGAACAAACACTAGCCTATAACATCTTAGTTGATTAGTTTATTGACAAAACATACTATATATTAACATATGAGCAGAAACTGCTAACAAAAGCTTATTTGATGTCTATTTTAGAGTTAAAACTTTATAATCTATTAAACAACTAGTCACACACACACACACACACACACACACACACACACACACACACACACACACACACACACACACACAGAAACATGATTCAAATTTAAACAGTAGGCTATTTTTGCATTTACAGACACTAACGTTATTCTATATCGCGATTAGAACAAAGCACAAGAATAAAACACTTACAGTTCAGCTCGCTCCTCGAAGTGAAAATAAACCAGCACTCGTTCTGAGGTAGGTAAATGTCCCAGGATTATTCCTCACAGCCGCGCAAGACGACAGTACATTAATCTGACTAAATATAGTGTGTTTACCGAGTTGATATGTGGGCGTTTACACGTCTCAATGTGTTGCTTCAGATCATTAGCGTTTGAATAGCGCGCGGTCTCCGTGGGCGTGTCACATTAGGAAAATAATGAGCTGAGAGAACGATAATGAGAACGGCTGACACCTCTCTCTTTTTATATAGATTACATAAACGGAGAATATTTATCTTAGTTTTAAATTAGATAATTTAAAAGTACAAACTTAAATGATCATAAACATATATTGCTCATGTCTGGGTGAATAGTATTAGCTGAGTTTTTTTTTTTTAAGTTTAGAGACGTGCTCCAGAAAAAAAGGATTGCGTCAATTTTTAAGAACTCTCTGAAATGTAGGCTGGTGTCGATTGATAATTATGTTAGTTTTTAAGTACAAGTATTTAAAGTCGACCTGATTAAGCCGGTCACATTTGCAATAATTTATAGACCTCCCATTTTTAACAAGGAATTTATAAGGGAGTTTTCTGAGTTCTTATCCTGTATGATGACTTGTGATGACAATCTTGTTATATTAGGTGATTTTAATATTCATATCTGTTGCCCTGAGAAGCCCTTAGTTCAAGATTTCCTGTTATTGTTGGATTCCTTTAACCTTACGCAATCGGTGGCCGGTGCAACACATAAACAGGGGCACACTCTGGATTTAGTTTTGTCCTGGGGTGTCCCGGTGGGTGATCTGACTATAGAGAACTTGGGGTTCTCAGATCACTTTGTTATATCGTTTAATGTCACTATTGCCAGGCGGATTGCGGGACCAGGGACAGTGGGCCGTCGTGCCCGGGCAATAAATGCTGCATCAGCTTTTAGGTTTTCAGAACAGTACAATGCCCACAAGTTAGCAAATAAACTCAATGATTTAAACCAGAGTGTAGAGGAACGTGTGTTAGATTTTAATACGGAGTGCAACCATATATTGGATTGTATTGCCCCCTGGAGACAGGTAAAAGCAAAAACTGTATCCCAGCCCTGGCTTAATGATGAGAGTCGATTGTTGAGGCAATTATGGAGGCAGGCAGAGAGGAAATGGTTGAAGGACAAACTGCAGGTCTCTTACGAGATTCTAAGAGAGCGTATGCTATCTTATCAACAGTTCGTAAAAGCGGCTAAGGAGAAACATTTCTCGGACCTAATCTCTAAAAATCAGCATAGCCCAAAAATTTTATTCCGTGTGATTAATTCTGTGATGAGTCCTGCCAGCCCCTTTGGTTTTGAGCGTGCCTGTGGAAAGTTCGCTCAGTTTTTTATGGACAAGATCACAATGATCAGAGCCGGCATTGTGAATTCTGTCAGTGCCCAAGGTAGCCTGGAACCATCACTCGATTTGTGTGCTCGGGGTGTGCTGATTTGAGCCGGTTTCTTTGGATGATTTGCTGGATATTGTCCTACACATGAAGCCAGCTTTTTGTTCGCTGGATATTTTACCGCCTCGTTTGTTGATTCAGGTGTGGGATGCGGTGGGGCCCACTATTACAGTTTTAGTTAACCAGAGTCTTACAAAGGAGATAGTGCCATCTTATTTTAAACACGCTCTTGTACAACCGCTTTTAAAGAAAACGAGTTTAGACCCCTCTGTGTTAAGCGATTACAGACCAATTTCTAAGTTACCTTTCTTATCGAAATTGCTGGAGAAGATGGTACTTAAGCAACTCTCTACTTTTTTAAACAAAAATAATATTTTTTATACTTTTCAGTCAGGTTTTAGATCGCAAAACAGTACAGAAACTGCCCTTCTTAAAGTATCGAATGATCTGTTGTTATCGGTGGATTCAGGGAATTGCACAGCGCTAGTATCACTGGATCTTAGTGCGGCCTTTGACATGGTGGACCACGGGATTCTTCTTGAACGATTGAGTAAGTGGGTGGGTATTGGGGGGTATGTGCTATCCTGGTTTGTCTCAAATCTTCAGGGGAGGACAGTTGCGGTGGAAATAGGGACCTCTACCTCTTCTGTTTGCCCTGTTGTCTGTGGGGTGCCTCAAGGCTCATGCCTTGGCCCAGTCCTATTTTCATTATATATGCTCCCCCTGGGTTTAATCTGTCAGAGACATGGAGTGGCATACCATTGTTATGCTGACGATACCCAGTTGTATTTGCCTTTGAACTCTGAGGATAAGTCTAAAGGGTCAGCGTTGTTCAATTGCTTGGATGAGATAAAACAATGGATGGCAGACAATTTCCTTCAGCTGAACGAATCAAAATATGAAGTGGTGGTGTTCGGCCCACCGAAGTTAGCTGAACAGCTTTCCGAGGAGCTTGGCACTCTCCAATGTTAAGACTCAAGTTAGAAACCTCGGAGTGATCTTTGACGCCGAATTAAAATTTGATAAACAGATAAATGCGGTGGTGAAGGGTAGCTTTTTTCAGCTAAGAGGGATTGCCAGAATGAAAGGCTTTTTGTCTACTAAAGATATGGAAACCGTCATCCATGCTTTTATCTCGTCCATATTAGATTATTGCAATTCCCTGTATTTGGGTGTGTCCAAAAAGTCCCTGGCGCGTCTGCAACTAGTGCAGAATGCAGTGGCCAGATTGCTGACTGGGACCAGTAAATATTCTAGTATCACTCCAGTTCTGGCCTCTTTACACTGGCTCCCGGTGGAGTTTAGGGTGCAATATAAGGTCCTTTTAATGGTTTATAAGGGTCTACACGGACAAGCCCCTGTCTATATCTCCGAGCTCTTGCAGCATCACTGCACCTCCAGACCATTAAGATCATCGCAAAGCTTATTGTTAAAGGTTACGAAATCTCGCCTGAAAACTAAGGGAGATCGAGCTTTCTCGGTGGCTGCACCGAGGCTTTGGAATGGTCTCCCTGTTTACATCAAGTCTTGCGATTCCATTGAAGGTTTTAAGTCTATGTTGAAGACATATCTGTTTACTGTTGCTTTTAATTGTTTTTAGCTATATGTGGTTCTGA